TTTTTTCTGGATAAAAAGCTCAATGTTAATACCATTCATTTGTCCATATGCTTGATCTAGGAAATAGTGTAACTGAAGATCTAATTGTATTTCTATTCTAATCTTTTAATCTTTCTTAAGAAATGTACTTAGCTTTTTTTATTTTTATTTTTTAGGAAGGAATTTGGAATTCTTTAGGTCAATGCATGAGTGGAATTTAATAACAAAAGAATGTGATTAGTGTTTGCTGCTCAGAGCCATAATATTTTCAAACATCAACAGCATTGAAATGACAAGTAAATGTACAATTTAGTCTTGTCAAATAGTGTGGGTGTATTTGAATTTGACAGGGCATAAACTGTGAAGTGGTATCCCTTTTAACCAATATAGCACAAATGCACACTGATATAATGTGAAGGGATAATATAGTCTTTCATGATCTGAAACTGCAAGAATTATGAAGGATTTTCAGGAGTTAGTTCTGTTGCTCTGGCACAAATTATTCTGAGTTATTCTGCTATATGAAATAAACTTTTTTGGACAAATGTACTTAAGTGTTGTTATTACCATTGTTGTCATTGTATTAGTATTCAATATGGGGAACAGAAAATAAATTTATTCAAAATACTTTTCAATTGAGACTGTCAGAAAAGGCATAGGAAGTTGGGAGACAATATCCCATCAAAACACATATGTTTTCAAATTATGTAAAGTTAAGAAATCTGTTTATAAAGACGTGAAGATGATCAAAGATGATCTATTTACTGAGGATTTAATTAATAAAGCATTAATTCTGAAATACCAGATAACATTTGTGGGCTATGATTATTCTGATAATTTTTGCCAAGTGCCATATGTTCTCTAAGTTACTGATATAATTAATCTAACACCTAAAAGTTTATATAATTTTGAACATAATGTGCTTTTATATTGCTCATTTGTTGAGGATGTATTTTATACAGGATTTTAATAGGTATCGCTGGATACTATGCATACTTATGCATAGAGATGATGAACTACATGATAAAAAAAAATAGAAAGGAAAGGAGTTTTGAAATTCACATTGAGGCCTGAGTCTGTGGCTTACTTGACTGCAGATGCAGTATAGGAGGCATTCACATGACCAGCCACACAAAGTACCCCTTGGAGAAGATGGCATCCAGACCATCTTGGATCAAGGCCTATTGAGCACTTACAAAGAAACTGTGAGCAAAATATACATCACTTAAAAACATAAAGTAGTACTTCATTGGCTAATGCATATGTAGTCACTAAGGTGCTGAGCTACTAATGAGCTACTGAGCTAAATATTTGTGCGCTCTGTATGGGAGAATTGTCAGAGTTCAGTTTGTTCAGTAACATGCTTTGTAAAGTCGTTATTCCCGAAACTCCTGGCTATGAACAATTAGATGCCTGTGAAAGAGAGGTTCCATAATCAAGACCCCAGCTTTTCTCATCTCTCAAATGCTCTGGGAAATGGTCCTTGCGATATTTCTTACCTTAACATCTAGTCCTACAAAGGAGAGGAACTTTCAGATTTTTTCTATTATTAGAGCAAGCTTTAGGCAAACTACTTAAATTGGCAAGTTTAACGTAGAGTTACTAGTTCCAGTACAACTCACACAGCAGTAACAGAAAAAAAGCCTGAAAATTTTCTATGCTGAAGTACTGGCTGCCTTTGGTGAGGTTTTTCTAGATACGAATTTTCATCTCGGTTTCCACAGATGACATAAACACATTTTGCATCCTCTTCAACTTGTGTGAACTTAATCTAAAACTATCTTTGAGCTCATAACCAGCTGTATAATATTTTGTAGCAAACAGTTCAACAGTATTTCCAGCCTGAGGAACTAGTAACTGTGTAATTTACAGAGGTTGGATATGAGAAATATTTTCAATTTGCAACTATATTTTAAAGAAATCTTCATAAGTTATTTACTATGAAATGTAAGAAAATGGAATTAAGCATAAAAGATTAATCAAAATTTAAACAATTTACAGACAACAGGGAGGAAATATTTACTTAAAGAAATTGTCTCATGTGTGCACTATATGCATTGGAATAGAACAATTAAGGTCTCTACGTTTTATAGGGTTTTATTACTTCTAAAAAATAGCAGGAGGTTGTGAAAATAATTAGGAAAATAATAACCAATTTTGAGTATTTGTGCCGAGCTTCTTTTACTGCAGTACACATTTCAACTTCAGCTGCCAAGCTTAATGGCCAAGCACACTCTTTTTAATCACAAATTAAATTTTGTCTTATTAAGGTTCTTCCAGTTTTGCACAGTAATTTTTAATCATTAAAATTTAGTTCATTGCTTTCTGTTAACAGAAGTTTCTTTTCAGCACATAATCAGCACTTGCCGGTTATGACTACATCTCTTTTACAGGAATGTGTCTTAGCAACCATGTCCTCTTGATTCCTTTGGGTACATGGGAGAAAGAAATTAAACTTTCTTTTCTAATTAACATAATGCAGTTAGTCCAGATTGACGAAGGGGTGGCTGTACATCTGTGACTGAGGGAATAAACCAAATATGTCAATTTGGATAAAAAAAGTAAACATTCTGTGTTCAGTACAGAATTTCAGATTAATTGTCAGCACAATAATTATGTAAGTGTAATTAACGTTTAGACTCTGAAGTCACTTGAGTAACAAGAATGCCCAAATACAAATTTGTAGTGTTGTCAACATTTATGCAAGTACAGGAATTTTAAGGGTGCTGTTACATATAATTAAGTCAGCAAGCTGCCTGCTTATCAGCTAAATAAAATGATTAATGGTTGTGACCCTGGTAAATTTTTGACAATCATGTCTTGTGATTGTAACGAGGCTGTTTTATGAAATGACGGCATTTGATTGCATGTTGGCCTGTCAGTTGTGTCTTTGCTTTCACCTTGTTCTCCAAGCATCTTCTCCACCTCTGTTTTAAAATTTAAACTGAAGAGGCAGTTGGTAAAAATATCAATCACTGAATTTGTTCTTACAGTAATTTCTTTGGGTAAACTGAAGTACTGAATGTATATTTCAGTTCAAGATCTGTAATTTCTAATACTGTTTTCTGCAGTGTGTTTGCACACTTGAACTGCAGGGGAGTTTGAGTCCCATTTTTATAATGGATTTGTAAAGAACACAACATACATTATATCATTTCCTTTAAAATAATTTTTATATTTGGGAAATAGGATATATACTTTGTTAGTTAATCACAATTTCAGCAAAAGGAAAGAGGCAGTTAAAGATTACATTTCCTAGAAGTAGATGAGGAGTATAACAGAGTGTTGGAAGGCATTATGAAGCTGAGTATGACAGACTAAAAGTGGGAATAAAATGAAAAAGGGAAAGACCAAATTATGAAAGGCACATTCATGACTGAAGAGGAATATAAAGTATTTGTTGTTGCAGCTGTGAGTTCAGCAAACATGGAATACAATTTTGGAAGAGCAGACATCTTGAGAAAAGAAAGATCTGTTTGAAATACAGTTTGCGTTTATCTTTGGGGATGACAAAAATTTTTTTAAAAAATTAGCAACCTGGAGATGAAAGCTGAAAACTCAGAAATATGAAAATGTGAAATAAATTGCATTAATTGAAACTTATTTCTCCTTTCAGAGACTGCCTTTAGTCCCCATGCCAACCACAATTATAAACACTAGAATCCAGGACTTGCTTTTGAGGACACTCAGCTTTGATCTTCTTGCAGCCAAGTGCCTCCCTGAATGCAACCGACTTCCAACTGGTGTGGAAGTCAACCTCACTTTGCAGTTCTCTAAAGCAGCATGAACTGTGCACAAAATCTTCATACGCTTGAAGCTGCATGCATTTACTTCACTGGCCACAGCACTATCACTGATCAGCCAACATTTTTTCAGTGCAGGAGGCCAGGTCATAGTTAACTTTGTTTCCAACTTGTGATGACACTGAAATTTCATTTTTTACTCTGAAATTTGGCCTTAGTTATCATAACTGTTTTACATATCCAGATTCTGACAGCTATTTACTTTTAAGTATTCAACAACTACCATTTATGTAGTTTTCCAGTTGTTTACCATAATGGAAATATTTTATAAAGATACTATTCTTATTCTTTAGCGGAAAAATGAAGATGTTACGTATGTTATTCTTTTTCAATTATGATTCAACTGAATTAAGAGGATCAGCTGAAATAAAGTTATTTCTAATAATATTAAATACATTTTCTTTCACACTAGCAAGAAAATTTGGTACCAAATGACACAGTCAAATCACAGACAAAAAAAAATTGTGATATTATGTAATAATATTATTTAAAGTTCAGTGAAGCAAATTAAGGCAGATGTAGTCTCATAGTCCAAACTTTCTACTGAAATTCTACTGTCTAGGTGTTGTCTATATTTTATGATGATGAAGAATTACTGCAGTAATCCTGTAATAGCTAGACAACTTTTTCATGGGCTTCTCAACGTTTCTGACTTTCCCTTCTAAATATCCATATGCTCTAAAAAAAAGAAACTATATTTGGATTCTTTCCTTTCAGTTTGTAATATTTTAAGTATTTGTACTAAAAGCAATAGATAACATTAAATTATGAGTAGAAATAGGTAAGGTGTCATCACATTCAGAAGAGTTTAGTACTGATGTCACAGTGCAAGGAGAGTGAGAAACTCTACCTGTGAATAATACCAAACAATACTTTCATTCATGTTTAAGAACCTGATTCATTTCTACTTGTATTTCAGATTTGAAATGTGAACTACAGTGTGTCCTGGAATGTATTTATGTGTACATAAACGATAACAATAACAATGAATGCAATACATACTTTATTTAGTAAATCCAAGAGATTTGTTATTGTGTATGAGAACTGCTGAATCACGGCCTGAACCTGTGATTGACCACCTGAGGAGCAATGAGTCCGCCCTAGGAGCACAGGTGAAGACAATTCTCCTGTGCTACTGGAAGGCTGGAGCCTGCCTCCACCTCTCCTAGACCCTATTTAAGAGCTGACTACGAGTAGGTACAGATCTCTTTTGGAGATGGCTCCTCTTGGAATCTTCTGAGTAAGCCTAGGATAAGGGTAAGCTTGCCATCCGTTCTTCTTTAGTGTGATAACCTGTTTAGCCTAACTTTCCTGTATATTTCTTAATTTTAAAATCTGTATATTCACTGATCATGCATTATGGATATCAGAATTAAAGGTGATTAAAGAATATGACAGCTTGGATAAATTATAGGAGCACCCTTCCAGGTTGAGCTAACTTTATAATATTGCCAAGAATAACTCAAGAAACACTTTATCACTTCCAAGGGAATGTTTCATTTCTCATCACACAAACAATTGAATGTATCCATTCAATCTTTAGTTCACATAGTGGCTGGTTGTTAGTCATATCTCAGCTCTCTTTCAGATTCCTATGAAATTGTTTAGGACAGTTTATTTGTTGCTTTATTTGTCGCTTATGTGACTAATTTAGCCTTGGATGACTCTTGTCTTGCTCCAGTTCATCAGAGGGAAAGGATGTTCTCTAATGAATATATACCCAACGTGAGATTAAAAAACAACAGTTCAAATGTTGGTCTGATTAGATTATTATAAACCTCAATTAGGGAGATGGGGGAGGCCAGCAACTATTACAAATTAGGGTGATGGGGAAGGGAAAGTGGGCAATAGAAAAGATAGGAGAGAAACAAGAAATACATAAAGCAGGGATAGTCACCATTGAGATCCAGCAGCATCCTGTTGCACGCTGTTCTGATGGTCCAAGGCAAAAGCGCAGGGGAGAGAGCAGCAGCAGCATGGCTGGCTTTGTACAGCAAGCAAGTAGAGCAACAGAGTAAGTCCAGGATGAAGGGGCAGGTTTTGGGTAGCAGGCCAAGGAGGAGTCTATCAGCAGTCAAGCATCATGTCGTGAGGTATCTGATGTCAGGCTACTTTCCTTATGGTTGTTAGTCCCATTTTTATTAATCCTTCTTCTTTTGCCAACGTGGCATTCCTGGGCACTTGGGTAAGAGTCATGTGCGTACCCCCTGAGATAGCTATCTGCCTTGAGATAAGCCCACACAAAAGACTTCTTCCCAGCTGTTAATCTGTGTCTTATCTCTCTCTCTCTCTCTCTCTCTCTCTCTCTCTCTCTCTCTCTCTCT